CAGGGAGGAAAAGGGTCGTTTACTTTTTCGAGTGCGAGAGGTTGGCCCAAAAGTGGAGACACTCTTGGGGGCCACCAGCGGGTGAATCTCCTTAACGACAATTGGGGTAGAAATAGAGGTCGATTAGGCGTGAGTGGTGGTAAGAGTGGTCTGGGTGGGAGGAGAGGGTGGGTCATTGTGAGATGAGGGGGATTGAAATTTTTTGATTTTTTAGGACTAGTGATTGGGAGCTCCTCAGTTGGAGGAAGAGGGATTCCGAACTGAACTTTAGGGAGGTTAGAGCTGTGAGTAGATAGATTAACCTTAAGGCTGGGCACTGAAAGAGGAAGTGGTGGCAACTCAGATACAACAGGTGCTACTCTGAGCTTGTCAGAGTGCGCTGTGCCGGACTGCACTACCCCGAAGCTTCAGGTGGCAGAATTCATCGCTGGACCTCTCGCTTTCTAAGACTGGGACCTCCAAGGCCCTATTTTGCTTTGCTTTATGTTTGATTCTCAACATGGATATAATGGAGGGCTGAGGGTTAGTGTTTTTGGTAATCACAGAGGAGAGAAAGGGGAATGTGAGAATTTGAAAACACAGGGGCAAGGGTTAGTAGCGGGGAAGTTAGATAGAGAATGTTGATGACGTTGGTCTAAAAATGGAATGAGCACATAAATAAGGGAGGAATCCTTCCCACGATTTTTCCCAAATTTAAAAATTTCATCATAAAACCATTAATTCCCAAATCTCTTCCATATCAGCTTTCCTTCCCCAAAATCAAAATGATTACTAACCTCTCTCCAAAAATTGAATTTGGTCATTTTTCTCATTAATGAGGCCATGCATGCCTGCCACCACTTTAAAGCTCCCACCGGCTCTCTTTCTTATTTCTTTGCCTGCATCAGCTATCTTATCAAAGTTGTCTTCCACTTTCTTTTGTAAACTAATCACTTGACTTGTTTCAAAATTCCCCTCGCAAAACAAAATTAAACTCAAATAAACCACAAAATTTAAAAGCTAAGTAAACTAACTAAGGAAACATAAAAGTTAATGTTGGAGCAATAAAATGATTTGACAATACAACCCGATCCACTTATTCTGTCTCGGTCGCGATCAGTCTGCTGCAAAGTGGGGAGCTCGAACATCTCTCACCACTTCCTCACCATAATAATGCCTCATCCTTTGACTATTAACTATAAACTCTCTTCCTGAATCAACCTCTTGTACTCTGATAGCTCCATGGGGAAACACATGTGCGACAAAAAATTGTCCAAACCATCTAGATTTGAGCTTCACTGGGAAGAATTTCAATCTTGAATTGTACAAGAGGACTTGTTGTCCCTTTTCGAAATGCTTGGGTTGGATTCTAGCATCATGCCAACGCTTGGTCATTTCCTTGTAGATTTTGGTGTTCTCATACGCATCTCGTCTGAACTCCTCAAGTTTTAACAATTGTAAGTGACGCAGATCTCCTGCTGCAGCATAATCTAGATTCAGCTTCTTTAAGGTCCAAAACGCCTTATGCTGTAGCTCCAACTGAAGATGACATGGTTTTTCAAAGACCAATTTGTAAGGAGAGGTGCCCAACGAAGTTTTAAATGTTGTACGGTAGGCCTATAGAGCATCGTCCAGTTTTGCTGCCCAATCTCTCCTTCTGGTGTTGACTACCTTTTCCAAGATACTCTTAATCTCCCTATTTGATATCTTGGCTTGACTGTTCGATTGATGGTGATATGTTGTGGAGACTTTATGCTTGATGTTGTATTTCGCTAGTAGTAATGCTACAACTTTGTTGATGAAGTGGGAGCCCTCGTTGCTGATGACTACTCTTGATGTACAGAACCATGTAAAGATATTTTTATGCAAGAACTTCGTCACCACCCTGGCATCGCTAGTAGGGCATGCAATTGCTTCAACCCACTTTGATACATATAATCAACAGCCATCAATATGAATAAATGTCTGTTTGAAGGAGAGAAGGGTCCCATAAAATCCATGCCTCGCACATCAAAAAGCTCTACTTCTAAGATGTATGTGAGAGGCATCTCTGACCTTTTAGAGTTGATTCTTGCCATCTGGCAATCATTGCAATGCTAGACCAAATTATAGGCGTCCTTAAATATAGTGGGCCAAAAATATCCGCTCTGAAACACCTTGGTTGTCATACGTTGCCCTACAAAATGCCCACCGTATGGTATAGAGTGTAACGCCCCAGGAATTTCACCATTTCCAAACAGGGACCATTACTAAGACTACCTAAAATTTTCACATAAGAGAATAATGTTCACCACAATACTAAGCAATAAAGCTACCACGCTTCTCCTGCGATGCTTTGATTTTCAACACTCACGAGAGCTTAAACAATTAGAACAGCAACACTAAAGTTTTAAGAGAAACTCACATCCTATACAGATAAACCATTTAATACCGACTTCACATTAACCAAACCCTTCAAGGAAACCTTTACTAACTATAAACCATCCACTAAATGAATATTAACATCTCGAATGGCAATGAAGCAAAAACTAATTCAAGTACGATCAACTTAAACAAATGTAATCATAAATATCTTAAGTAGATTACAATCTCATAGTTCAAGATGCTAACAAAATTAATGCTCTAAAGGAATAATGAATCGGCAACCTTACAACATCTTTTAGACAATAAAACTAAACAAAACCAACCACTACCAACTCAACTACAGGATTAAATGGCCACCACTATCCTAACTAAAAGAAATTAATTGCACGCAGCATAGCTAATGGTCCTTCCGATCAAGCCTCCTCCTCGCCATCACCATCACAAGAGCTAGCTCGATACCTGCAAACTGGAGGGGAAAAGAGGGATGAGTACAACCACAGTACTCAGTAAGCAGCCCTTATCTGAAGGGTCATGCACAAACAGCATACTTATCARGGRACAACGTGTCATGCTTAWTAMAGGATCAACACACACACATCATGCTCAACCAAATCATGAAACATTCACAGTCATGCTTTTCATCACATTATGCATTCAAACATAGACACATTCTATAAAATTCGGTGACAACCACAACCAGGAACACATTAACTACCAGTACTAACCTCTAGTCTCCCTAACATCTCAAGTACCT